TTACTTAATTACAGAATTTCAAATCAGCCCAATGCAAAACATTTCCTTTTCCTCTACCTGGCCAATTCTCACCAATCTGAGTAGCGAACAGAGAACATGAGCCCGTGAATCATCTGACAGGCCATCCCTAGGCAGGATGAGGCATACACAGCAGCAGTTAGGATCAAATCTTGTTTTCTCTCATTTTAAACAAGGAATTGACTATTATAACAGTGATTATGTATGGGAGGTGGGAGTCAGAATGACTTTTATTTTTATATTTTATGTACTTCAATGTAGGTTGAATTTTCACAAAGAGCATGGATTTATAATAAAGTATTTCCATTTTTTTAATTAAAAAATTTTTTTTATTGCATTCAGAGAGGGAGAGGGAGAGAGAGAGATGGAAACATCAATGATAAGAGAGTTGTTTGGCCGCTTCTTACATCGAGCCCACAACCCAGGCATGTGCCCTGAACGGGGTATCGAACCGTGACCTCCTGATTCATAGATCGAGCCTCAACCACTGAGCCACACCAGCTGGGCAAAGCACTTCCATTTTGAGAGGAAAAAAAAGGGACATGAATCACTTTTAATTTGGTTCATATAAGAATATTAGAATAGACCTGGTCAGAGTGGTTCAGTTGGTTGCAGTGTCATCCGTACACTCTCACATCGGATGTCTCTCTCTCTCTCTCCTCTCTCTCTAAAATCAATAAAAGCATGTGGAGTGTGGATTTAAAAAATTTTTAAAGAGTAATAGAATAAATAATTTCAATATTTTATGGTAAGGGATATTAGCACAAGAAAATATCAGGAGAAAACATCCTATAGAGATCAAAGTGACCTCTCAAGCAAAGGTTTTTCAACTATACCTCGATTTTGGGGGAAGACAACAGATTGTAGCTCAAAAATAAAAATCTATGGAACACTTTCTGCATTTTATCCCAAATGGTTTCCTCCCCATTTGAGCCAGAAGGTTAGTAGCAAAGGCTTAGCGCTTTTCCTAGCTGGAGGAGAGGCCTGAAAGCAGGCACTTCTTTTCTCCTACACATTAGAATGGGAAATGGTGCTAAGTACAAAAGTATAGTGGTGTTAACGCAAAATCAAAACACAAGGTCCAGAGCAAGTGGCTGAGGCTGTGTTCATGCCCTGGGAAGGTCCTGGTTAAACATTGTTTCTGTTTTCTCGGACAATGATGCCCCAGCCCCACCCCAAGGTAGGCCACTACATAGGAGTGGGAAGAACAGAAAGGCTTCAGGAGGACTGCTCAACCTGAGTTAATCTATGAGATGAAATCTGGTCATAACAGACAAAAGTGCTTTTAAAAGAAATATAAGATGTTATCTGAAGGCTCTACTGCGAACTGTCCTTATCAATCTTTGGAGGAGCATTTCTTTGCCACTATGCTTTAACTTTCTCTATTTAAGATGATGACGCTCCCATCTGGCTCCCAAAGCCATTCAGTTATTATTGAGACTTGATCAGATATCCAGCAAGTGATGTGGAGGAAAGTTTTGAGGTTCTGCTGGCCAGTCCTCAGTCAAGCTCCATCACTTTGTATCCCAATTCTCCCCATCATATCCATCCAGCTGCAATGACAGAGTTTCACAGACTCTAAATGCACTGTTTCAAATGAGAAGGCAGTGATTGCTTTGAAACTGTAAGAACTGCATCCTTCTCCGAATCTGCTCCAGAATGGCCTGAACTTCAGCGCAAGAAACTGATTCTAGGTCTCCCCCAAAAGCCTGGACCAACCCTTGGGTGTGAGTGTCAAAGGGAAATCTGTTCCTGGAACAGCTGTCCTGCCGTGATACACTCTGTAGGTGGGAATACACGTGGGCCAGGGGAGACCGTGCAGGTACCGACCGCGCGGATGGAGGGATATTATTACACACACACCGATCTCCTACCGCCTCCAGCAAACATCAGGGGCTTTCACCGACAGCTCCCGACGCTCCTCTCCCGGGAAATGTCATGTCAACCTCTCGGATCACATGCAGACAGATGCGTGGTTAGATAGAACGGGAGAGTGGGAGGCGGCTGAGCTCAGATCCAAGCCTCCACGCCTCAGCGGCGACGACTCCGCTCCCCACCCCGCGCCCTCGGCGAACACGGACACAACTTCTAGAAAGCGCCCACCCTGGAGCGAAAGCACTTCTCCCAGGAAAGAGATCCTTTCCGCTGAAAATCCCCAAACCCGAGACCCGACACTTTCTACTAAACAAAAAGCTTGTGTGCCGGCAAGAGGGGGTGGGAAAGAGCGTGGCAAGAATTTGCGCGGCTTTCCGCCTCCTCCTCGGAGCGCGCCCAAGTCTGCGGCCTCGGCGCCCGGACGCTTCCCCTCCCACCCGTCGGGGAGCCGCCGCGGCGAGGAGAGAAGCGGGCTCCGGGCACGTCAATCAGCCGCGTCCGCCCGCCTTCCGTCTACACCTCCCCTCCCTTCCCCCCCTCCTCCAAAAAATAAAGGCAGAGAAAGAAAGGGAAAAGGAGGCGACTGATGCGGGAACTCGTCTCCAAGGGGGCTCCTGCTCCGACCCCGGGAGGCCTCACGTCCCGGACCCGCGCGCGGCGGAATGCTGGACGGGGGAAGGCGACCAGCAGCCGCCCCGCCGCCCGGACCTCACGG